GAGCTGCGTAATAAACTTGTACAGTACATTGACTACCAAATGAAATTCATTAAAACCTCGTTCAAATAAATCGACTCTTAATAGCGTTTCCTTTGACAAATTATTAAATACTGACACCTCGTTTTTCTTTGACTTCTTCACTAGTAAAGTGATTTAAAGAAGTGATACGAATCACTTTATCCTAACTAAATCAAAATGAAATTGAGTCTCTTCTTAGCGAATATAGAAAAGTTACTTCAAATTTAAAAAAATAATAAAATGAACAGTTACATAATAAAATATAAAGTTCTTACCCTAAAATTGTGACTAAAACTAATTTGTAATACTAATACGAATATTAAATGATAAGAAAGTTGTTTTAAAACCTTTTTCTAGTTATCTTTTTCAAACAGCGTTATTAAATGTACGCAGTGTTATTTTCAATATTAGTCTACCATGTCTTTGGAAACGGTGTCAATAACAAAAATAACCCGCCGAGGAAATTGAACCTGAGATCTCACGCTGCGTTGCCGCTAACATACAACGCCATCTATTTTTAAACTAAGCAGAGCTTGTACTATGAATGTACTGTGCTAGATTGACTGATATAATACCTATCTATATACTTTTCTATGTAAATACATACATATTATATATAAAAACCACCATACATTTCGTTAAAGAAAGATGATAATCAGGCTTTATGTATCTGTGTGTTATTTTTTCATGAAAATACAGTGTAACAGCTGTTTACAAATGACCGAATATACATATAGAATGTTCATATTAACATTTAAGCGATACCGAATTCTTGCTCCTTAAATTTTTAGCATACAAAAACCTTTCTTGAAGCAAGTACGGACAAATATAATCCCCTATAATTTCAAAGGTACATTTACGATTACAATACAATTCGCTCGTATCGAGTATCGTTCAGTAACTTATTTGTTAAAAGGTTTCCCGTATTGTTATATGTTTCAAGAACTTTTCTTAAAGGCATTCATTTGTTTTTTACGTTTAGACGTTTAAATATTTGTACCCACAGTGTGTCAATTGCTTTTTGTAACCCTTTTATTTAGCATTTTTAATCGCTAATATACTGTAGTACTATGAAAAAATCAGTCCGCTATTCTGAATCACTGACAAATATCCCCTTTATTTCAAGACTTTGGGTACATCTGCTATTGTCCGAACTGTGCTAATTAACTTGTAGAGAATGGTAAATCTCTCCTTGTATTTAAAAATATTTATAAACTTTAAGTAAAATGCTTTAAAATTCTGATCTTCTATAAAAAAAAATCTTTAAAATAACTTTCTAAATGTAAATATGCTCTAAGATTGCAATTTACAACGAGATGAAGTCTATGCCATCATAAGCCTGCTATTTCCCAAGAGAACTTTGCTGAGCTCGTACAACTTATGCCAATGAATTATAGAGAAGATGAAATGTATGAAAAAGATTTTGAATTAAGAATTGAAGATTTTGTACCGTGTGGTGACGGATTAAGAATACAGTGTCACCACCCCTATTCATCCCGTGGGTGTCGTAAGAGGCGACTAAGGGAGCGAAATACGCAGGACACAGCACTGCAGAGAGAAGGAAAACTTGACACAAACCCTATACCAACCCGTCTGGCCAGCGTGGTATAGTAGGCCAAAACCTCCTTTCTAAGCAGAGGCTTATGTCCAGCAGTGGACTATTGAAGGCTGTTGATGTGATGTGAATTAAGTCAGTGATTTAAAAAAAGATGGCGTAAGGGGTCTCTGGACCCCCGGTCAGCACGAAGTTCATTTCGCTTTGTGATAAAATAAAATATCTTATACACCGTGGCGTTTAGGTTATCACATAAATTTAAATGGTAGAAAACATGGTTCAATATACATACATCGGTTAAAATAAAATAAAAAATTGTACGAAAATACAGAAATGGAAATTTAGAACAAAATAAATACAATAAAATAATGACGAATTAGCAACCCCGTCGACGAGCCGGCGAACTTTACATTCTCATTACCTACTTCACTTGCTTTTTAAAATCCATTTATTAAAAATACGGTTTTAATAACATGTAATAAACACGTCAATAAAAAAGTATTTTTAATAATCAGGAATGCTCGACTAGCTTCGGACTCGTCAGTAGGTGTCACTCCTTGAAAAAGTAGGTACTTGGGTTGTCTCTTAATCTTTGCACCGTAGGTCATACAGGGTTTTCCAATAAGAGGTGTTATTTTAGTATTCAAAGAAAAATGCATTTTTTTAAGTTAAATAATCGGCTGTTTATTTTATAATAAAGAGGAAGGTATGCCGTTAATAATGGAAGATAACATCAGCCAAATGGCTACCACGACCACGCTTACAGGACCATATCCTTTTAATGAAACTTTGCATAACCAAATCGAAAAGTGGCTGCCCTATGTCCTCGATAGCCTCACGAATTCCATCTTTGAGGTCTTGAATCGACGCTGGGCTGTTGGCGTAAACCTTATCTTTCACGTGGCCCTAAAGGAAGAAGTCACAAGGTGTTAAATCACAAGATCTCGGTGGCCAATTGTGATCACCTCTTCGAGAGATAACACGGTCAGGAAACTTTTCCCGTAAAAGAGCAATGGTTTCGTTGCTTGTGTGGCACGGAGCGCCGTCTTGTTGAAAGTAAACGTTGTCCAGATCAATACCATCCAACTCCGGCCATAAAAAATCATTAATCATATCTCGATAGCGCAATCCATTCACCGTAAGTGTTGATCCAACCTCATTTTCGAAAAAGTAAAGTCCAATGACCCCGCCGGACCATAAACCGCACCAAACAGTCACACGTTGAGGATGGAGAGGCTTCTCAACAATAACTCTTGGGTTTTCCGAGCCCCAGATGCGACAATTTTGCTTGTTGACATAGCCTCCTAGGTGGAAATGGGCCTCATCAGTCAAGATGATTTTTCGATGGAATCCGGATCATTTTCATGCATTTCAAGTACCCAATCAACAAAGACACGACGTTGTTGATGATCGGTCGGCTTGAGTTCTTGTGTTAACTGAACTTTATAAGCCTTAAGGCCCAAGTCTTTATGCAAAATACGGTGTAATGACGTTTGTGGAATGCCCAATTCCAAAGAACGACGAGGAATGGACAAACCTGCGTTTTCTTCAACACTTTAGGCTACAGCAGCAATATTCTCAGTTGTTCTTGAGCGACGTGCACGGGTTTTATTCTTCACATCACTAACTTTTCCCAACAGCTCGAATTTTTCTACCAATTTCTGTATTGCGGTCCGACAAGGTGCTTCACGACGGCCAAAAAATGCTTTAGTTTTGCGAACTGTGACTGCAAGATTTTCACCATTTTTGTAGTGAATTTTAATAATTTCAATGCGTTGTTGAAATGTGTATCGTTCCATTTTTAGTAATGGCGTAGTTTCTACTTGTCAAATGTCAAAAAATAAAAGCTTCAAAAGTGACAGCTACCGAAATACCGGGTGATTCAAAATGACACCTCTTGTTGGAAAACCCTTTACACGATTGATTCCATATCTCGGGTTGTCCGTAAAGCTAAAGATGCATTTTGATAGAGTTCCCCGTGTAAATTAACATCATGTCAGGTTATTCCGCGGCTGTGAAGGTTACTCACGGCATTATGGATGTTGATACCGATAACCCTTATAACCCCGGTGTTCCCTTCCAGCCGGAGGAAAGCCAGGCTGGTACTTATCCAGAAACCTGGCAGGACTGCAGATTCTCCCTCGGCATTTCGATCGATATTCATGCTGGACGAAATACCTGGAAAAAAATCCTGGAAGAAAACTCTTTGAAAGAGGTATCAACGAGCACATGTCGCGAGTGGGCCCCGACTTATCAGACAACCAGGTTGGCTTCCGACAGAGACGCTCGACGATCGACGTGCGGAAATCCCCTCGGATACCACCTACCATGCATGTCGGCATGTCGGACTCGAACCGACTAAAACCGCCGGCGTGCGGGTCTCGGGTACTAATAGCCGGGGAACCAGGTATACCCTAGAAAGGAAGTCCCTGGTACCCCGACATACCTCGGGTCATCTACAGACGAGTAGACGACCCCCCCCCCCCCCGTGTGGGAACCCCATGTTCCCTGTGCTCCCTGGAAGCGAGCGCGCTTCGCAACGCGCTCGCTGCCACCCCGGCCTGCTTCTGCTAGGGTGACAGATGGCCTCACCTGTCACCCCCAGGCCTGCGCTTATGGAGGACGGAGGCCGTTCTGCGACCTCCGGCGCCTGAGTCGCCTGCGGTACCTGGCCCGCCAGGCCCGGGAGAGTCTTAAACCTCTCCCGGTCCCGCTCCGCCGTCTCCTTCGCGAGCATAACTTGCTCGCAGAAGGAGACGGCAGAGTTCCACGCACTCTCGCTCCGCACGATAGCCGCAATCAGGCTATCGAGCGAGAGAACTCCCACTCCGATGGCCGCCACGAGGTCTCGCCTCTGCTCAACCCGCGCCGGGCACTCTGCCAGCGTGTGGAGAGCCGTGTCCACGGTGTTAAGTAGATACCCTAAGGAATGATTTACTTACTTTTAACTGTCTTCTATTTGTAACGATAAAAAGAAAACAAAACGACGATAACCGAACAATAAAAACCCATCGATATGTCATTTACGAGTATCCTTTGCGTCGAATAAATAAAATCTCAGAGCTATCTGCAACCACAAAAATCAACATTGACCTTTGAAACGATTTGTTCTTGTAAATAAAATGTTTCATACTACCCTCGTGGCCGTTCGAACCAAAACGTTTCGGTGGAAAAATCAACCGAACAATAAGAGACTACTATCCCCAATATCCATTTCGTGGAGGTAATAAAAAAAATCTTTCTATCCTTTGCCATTTTTGTCGATCTGCAAAGGGTAAGCAAATATCTTCATCTATTTAAACATATTATAGCTAATACTGACAATTGGATTTTATTGTTATTACTAAAGCTATAGTTGCTTTTTTTTTAACTGAGTAATCAGAAGGTCGTATGTTCGTTGTCTTGGATAGACTATTTATGGTTTACCATGAACAGTGCTAAGCAATCAAAAATAATCATTTGTTTAGTGCCTGCATACCTCCTAACCAAGGGGTTAGGAGGTAGGCAGGCACGCAGGCAGGCAGGGATGAAGGCAACGAAAGAGATGGCTATATTTGAGGGTATAAATCGAATTCTGTTTTTTTGTTTGTTTGCTTATATTGATACATTTGCTAGAATTATTAGAAATCCCTAGTTTTAAACATTATAAAATATTATTTACTCTTACATTATTTTTATCAATGCCGCAATGAAAACAATAAAGACTATTTCAGTATAGCTCACTTTTTCATTGGATTGGGTATGGTACGAATTTGTGTAATACAAATCCCTTTCTATTTTTGTTTCAGACGTAACCCAAAGTCAAATGTTATGTCGAGGCGTGTCGGGCCACAAAGTATGCGGTCTACGGGCACACGCGCCTCGTATTTCGTTCACTAGTAAAGATGAATCTGATCCTCACGAGCTCCGTAGGAAGTCCGCTAGTAGTCGACTTGGAAGTTCACCTCGAACGAGCATAGCCAGTGATGATCGAGATGGGATTGCGCTTAGGTAAGTCAACAATTATTGAATTAGATTATAAGTTTTCTATGGATTTAATAATTTAAATTCTGTGGCAAGTCTGTGAAGAATTTATTTCTGTAAACTATTTTAAGACCCATATGTACCAAAGTATGGCCTCCCACTCTATGTGTATTGAATAGAGGAGGGTTTTGGAGCATGTATCCTCATACTTCTATCCTTAGGGGTAGAGCAGTGACTATATGAGCCAGTCGAAAAAAATATATTTAATGTTTTACGTCGCTATTATATTTTGTATGAGTATTTTATCGCTATATATATATCCCCTATATATATATGTATGCATACATATAAAGAGCAATAATAGTATGAGTTTAAGAACCTTTTTACCATTATTAAGTTTATTCACCGTTTTCTTATTAATGCACAAATTTTCATCAATAATATTAATAATGGGCCTGGGAGTCCACAGTGGTATTCCTTGCGAAATTTCTCTGCGATATCACGTCTGAAGTGCATCATTGTGTAACAAACATTATCAAAAAATGTATGAATGTGAATATATATAATATGCGTGTGTTATAACACACACACACACAATTCACATACATATATATATATTATTTTTATTATGATTAGGTAATTTCATATGATTTGTGCACACACGGATTGCTAATGATTGAAGGCGCGATATCAAAATGTAACTTATCTTATTATAAAGACATTAGGAAGATATCCTGTGTCAAACCCTTTACAAACATAGATGAAACGGACACAAAGAACACCCAGACTCAGAACAACAATTTGTGGATCACACAAAGTGTCGTCCAATATGGATTTTGAACCCATAACACTCGGCGCAGTAGAAAACGGCGTGGGGACCGCTTAAACCACTACGCCATTCGTGCAGTCAACTCATACAAATTATCGACGGACAAAGATATCACTTATGCACCGCAGACAGATAAGTCTTACCGACAGTCTTAACGAGTAATTGTGACTATACTCGACATTTTATTTTAAACAAACCTAAAGCTTTAGAAGAAAGCACGTAAGAGCCGACTAAGGAAGCAAACTACGCTGGACAACAGCACTGCAAAAAGAAGAAAAACTAGAAACAAACCCGTCTAGCGCAGGCCTCTCCTTAGAGGCTTTGTCCTACTATAATACGCATATTATAGTAGGACAAAGCCTCTAAGGAGAGGCCTATGGCCAGCAGTGGACTACTAAAAGCTGTTGATGATGATAAAGATTTTATGCTTATTAAAAAAATAACACACTCACAAACAAATAAATCTCTAAATCTCTCAAAATATAAAGCCTAATTTAAAAAAAAAATACGTTGCTTTAATAACCTAAAAATGATGTCATACACCCATGCGAAGCCGGGGCGGTTCGCCAGTACTTCACGAAGATAGAAAATCCCTATTCTTTCCTGTAACATAAACACAGCTACGAATTAAATCTTGCTTTTGTTAGAGATGAAATACTTTTTCCTAATCTTGCATTCGTTTCAATCCTTATTGTTGTATTTACTGACTTAGAAATAAGACGGTTGAAGAACGTACCTTTTCTCTATATAGTTTTGTTTTCAGGTAAAAAAATTATAGTATGAGAATAGTAAAATAAAATGATAAAATTCTTAAGAATTTCACCATTTTATTTTACTATTCTCATACTTTGTAGTATTTTCTTGTTAGTTCATTACTAAATTGGCAGGTAAATCGGAATTACGTTAAAAATTTAAATAGCTTTTTTAGGTTTTATATTCTCCGTAAACTCTCTTTCTCTCTCTCTTATCTATGTATCTAATTATAAGTTAGTTTTCGTTAGTTAGTTGTTCAGTTTAGTTGTTAATTAGTTAATTATTTGTTGGTTATTAGTTGGTTTGATCTAACGTTTCACTAAAGATTTAATGTTTTAGAACAACATGCTACTATATCCACATACAGCTACATGCAGATGTACGCTACCTTCGTTAAGGTACTCCACATGGTCGATGTCTGTTGACAATTCACTCGGTTTCCTATTGTTGGCTGTTGGGAGCCATGTTCGATTTCTTTTTTAAAAAAGTACTATCTACGTCACATCTTTTTTAGGCATACTTTCAGCAGTTGTTTTTATGTGAGATCATCAGACAAAATCATGCCATGCAGAGAAGTAAGACCGATTTTAGCATTTTCTTTAAAGATATATACAGGCGAGAACTTAGAGAAAACTTGATAACAATTGAAGTCATAATTTTGTCAATATACTTCAATTAAACTGTAACCTATCCAAAGGGCGAATTAGTTAAATTATCAATGGAACCTTAATAGCCAATTTGTTAGAATGTTTACATTGAACTCAAATTCTATTTCTAAGGGATCAACTACTAACGAAGCGCAATACATTAGCAATATTTATAATAATGATCAATCAATGAAATGGAAGAGGTATTTGTTCCCCCATGCTGGAAAAATATTTATGTGACTAATAAAGACGCCGTTTTTATTTACACGTGTGACACTATATTGAACAAACATAAAAAAAGTGTATTCAATAATGAACATTATGTTGTGTTGTAGCTATGTTTATATTGTGTAATTATGTTGTGGCATTTCTTTTAATGATAAGACTCTTTTAGGAATATTTTAATTTGAGCACGTAAAACCAAGTAGTTACTTTTAATCATATTTGGGTTGGATTAATACTCTTTAAAGTCCACCCTACACAACTACAGTTTTAAGTCAACTCACATTAGCGAACCTGAATGTAGGGTTATGTAATTATTAAAAAATCATCACATCAACAGCCTTTAATAGTCCACTGCTAGACAAAAGCTTCTCCTTAGAAAGGAGGTTTTGGCCCACTATACCACGCTGGCCAGACGGGTTGGTATAGGGTTTGTGTCAAGTTTTCCTTCTCTCTGCAGTGCTGTTGTTCTGCGTAGTTTTTTCCCTTAGTCGGCTCTTACGACATCCACGGGATGAATAGCGTTGGTGACAATCTGTATTCTTAATCCATCACCACACGGACCGTGTGGTGTGTTCATAGAAATTATTATCCAACGTGCAAATTAAAATTGAGGTGAACTTCAAACTCGTCGTCTGCTCGTGCAACCTACATTATGGCTGCAGCATCCTTATATCACTTATGCCAAAACAATCAACTTCTCATTTTCAGTGCAAAAGTAATTAATTCAAATCACATGCACCCCGACGGCATCCAAAGCTCAGAACCCAACTAAGAGACGTGAGCGCTCCTACATATTACGGAAGCTTGTAGCTTAACCGGCTGACAGAAATACCACAGGGCAATACTCAATGCTTCTGTCTCCACTGCAACGAAATCTAAACTCTAATCTTAACCAAAACAAGGTGCAAAAACTGTTTAAGAAAAAATGCAGTTGTCACATTACTATTTCAATCTGTGTAACGTAACGCAAATTTAGTAGGGCAATATATATTGGTCTTTTTCCAATTTATTTATATAAAATCATTTTAGTGTGATCCACACTTTAATGCATCGTAGCCTTTTACTACATCTCGTGACGTGTGAAAAGATATGATGTTTAGGAAGAAGAAAACCAAATTTCATCCTTGTTTTCGACAACATAAGACTGAAAATATAACATCAATTTTAACAAAACATTTTGACACACTTTTTTCTATAAAAAAAGGCTTTAGACAAAATATGAACTTTCGTTCCAGGTATAAAAGTATACTTAAATCTGAGAGCATACTCTTACAAAAAGCTATATAAAAATTTCACTAACCCTTCTGCTGACGGCACCGTAAAATTTAATACTATATTTTAAACCATCGACGCAAAAAAAGGTTTTAGAGAGCTTAACGCTTGTAACTACTCGTATGTCTGTCTTTAGAATCATAGCTCCTAACAGAATCAATCAAATTGAAAATTTCTTTTATACGTGTAAATCCTCTGTAATTATTCATCTCATTTTTTGTGTGATTTCCAATAATTATAATAACAAAACAATTTCAAATTCCTGGACATATTTAACAACGCCAATTAGACCTAAGGAAAGCATAGGTTAATAACTATATTTTACTTTAAAAATATATCACATCATCATCATCACATCAACAGCCTTTAATAGTCCACTTCTGGATTTAGGCCTCTCCTTAGAAATGAGGTTTTGGCCTACTATGCCACGCTGGCCAGATGGGTTGGTATAGGGTTTGTATCAAGTTTCCTTTCTTTTTGCAGCGCTGATGTCCTTCGTTGTTTTACACCCTTAGGAGGATCGACACCCACGGGATGAATTGGGGTAGTGACATTCCGTAGTATTCTTAATCCGTCACTACACGGACACGGACACGGAAAAATCTATTATAGCTAGAAGAAAATCTGAAAGTCTGCTGATAAGACGACATTTTACGGTTATCAATCATCATTCATGATAAAACCAGTCAGGTATATGACTTTCTTATTATAAATATAAGCAAGTTTATAAAATAGTGATTGATCTTGAAATTTTACTCATAAATAAGTTAATTGCATAATCAAAAGAGTTTTCACATATGTAAAGTCCTCCCCGCGACACAGGATATACTTATTCCTAATGCGGTAGTTGTCTTTTTTAAAGAAAAAAAGAAACTTTTGAATGTCTTTTCTTATTACGTCAAAGTATAATATGAACTGGCATTGTATAGACTTTCCGTAGTATGACAGGTTAGTAATAAAGAAACTTTTAAGCTTTTTATAGTGTTTTTCATATAACTGTACTGTACACATAGTGTATTAAACTATATGAAATTAGCTATGCCCTGCAGCGCTTCGCTGTAGCACAATGTGGTTGCATTAATGAGAAATGAGGAACAATACTGACGTGACAAGATAATAACCATCTTTGAATAGGTTTGTACATAGTGTCAAAATTTGAGCTCAATCGGTGCAGAAGTTTTTGAGTTTGTTAAGCTCACATAAACCAACTTAACGTTTATATACATGTATTTATAGATGTATAACGAAGGGATAGATCGATGACTGATGTTACTATGAACTTACGGCAAGTGCAGTGCACTAAAAAATAAATTTCATCTGTAAAGCTACAAATATCTCTTCAAGTAAGCATATTCCCGTGTGCTTTGATGTTCTAATTAACTTTTTTTTTGAGTTTTAAAACTAGTTTACTTATATTAAACAGGATAATTAAAAGTTTAATTTCACTGAGTTGGTTATCTGTGTTCTCTTGTAGGGCGTGCTAAATCACAGCAGATACCGTGAGTCGGAACTGAGTGACGCTAGTCCCAGCGTGTCTGGGCTGCATTTGGTGTAGACGTAATATTGTGACGTCCGCAGTGAATTGACGCGGTTGTTGCGTAATAGGAGGGAATGATGTGCGGACATAATGCTGACGCGGTAATTTGTAGCCGGAAGCATGAGTTTTCGCAGCAGTCGTCTCCCTGTAAGCTATAGGTAAAATCGTGTAATATATTTACTTTTGAGCAAAATATATTCAATAACCACATCGACGACAACTTTTTGGGACGAAGTTCCTTATCGTACGTTACACGCTCTGAGCGGATGAGAGCGAGACCATAAAATGTGTAATAAGACTTTTTTCCGACATTAAGTTTAAAGCAGATTGTATAGCAAACATCTACCAAAAAGCCAAAGAAACTTTGTTCCGACCGGGGGTCCATAGACCCCTCACGCCTTCTTTTTTAGGATAGGGGGTATAGGAGTCTGTTGGTCACCTGATGGTAAGTGACTACCTGCGTTGCCGCCCTGTCAGTCCCTTGCCTCAGAATCAGAGGGGGGTTTGGGCTCCGGTAACCTAACTCACTCAGTGAAAAGCAACGGAAGAACTTTTTTCTTTTCTTTTTTGTGTTCTGTGACGACATGGTATCACTCCGGTCGAGCCTTGCTAATTTTTTTTTTTTCACATCACATCAACAGCCTTCAACAGTCCACTGCCGAAGCATGGCTTTTCTGTCGCTGTACTGATTACAAATAGCTGTCTCTTTCACTCTTATGCTTTCCCTATTTCCTATCGCACTTGTAGCGTATGTTTTGTTCTAAAATGAATTAATAGAAGTAGGTATGTATAGTGTTGTTAACGTATCTTCCTTAAAACATAATTGGCTCTCCTACGATAAGTTACGCAACTTTTCCTATAGTTTGTTTGTTTAAACAACATTTGCACTTTTACATATATGAGACATAAAGTAGGTTTAAAACGGACATCTTAGATATTTTTAACGTGTTTATAGTAAGTTTTTTTACGTATTTATAGTGTTTACAGTTAGGTACTGTGTGTATATTTTTACTTTTAACTTATTTCATAAATTCCAAATTATAAGTAGGATAGGTTTATCAATATATATTAAAGATTTGTGGCTGTTTCATCTGACACTGACGCGGCAGCTCGTTTTACCTCTTGATTTAGATCGTCTGTCGTACAACCGCATAGCGTTAACAACCTTACCTTTGATTTAATACTGAGTTTTGATGAAACTATTTTAGGTTAAGGGATTTGTAGAGATTGGTTCTCTGTATCAAAGCCAAGTTATCAACTTGTGTGAAACGGGATTAAATATATATTAACCATATCAATTATTATTAATACAATGGATTATAGTTTAATAAAGCAGACTTATCAGGGTTGGCATATATTTCTATTTGCACAACACCATACTCGTTTTAACGTATAGTTAATGGAGTTTCTCAGTATTTATAAGCATAGGTAACGGCTTTTCATCAAAGCCGTGAGTTTTTTTGCATCCAAAGTTGTAGTCGAAAGTTATAATTAATATACGAGTTGGTGCAACTAAAGGTTAAATACCAATTCATAAAAATAGTTTAAATAAAAATGGGTTAGCGAATTCACGCTTTCTAGTAATAGAGAATTCAAGTTGTAGTTCTAGCAATAGCTATTTTCTTATGTACCTCAATCCATCTGTATGATGTATATCTTATCCCTACCAATTTACGTATTGAGACGGGTCTGTTGGTCTAGCGGTTAGTAACCTTGACTGCTAAGCCGGCGGTCGTGGGTTCGATTCCCACCTAGGACAAATATTGTGTAATGAGCACGGTCATTTGTTCTGTGTCTGGGTGTAATTTCTCTACAATGCGTGTGTATTTTAAAATATATAAGTATGTTTATCAACAATCTGGTACCATAGCACAGGCTCTGCATAGTTTGGGATCAGACGGCCCATGTGTGAGATGTGTGAAATATTATTATTTTTATTACATTATATTTATTTGCTTTGATCTACCTCGCCGTTCGATGTGCTCCTAATTTAATTATCTAATTGCTAAGTGTCCGGCTGCTAGGCGACGTATTGTCTGTTAACTGACAAGACTGACATTCGAGAATATAATACAAATACAACCTGACCCGCGCCACTTCGTCTGCGTCTTTTAATTAATCGCGAACCCGTGATAGTCTGCTACTCAGCCTTTTAGGAAGGAGTACGCTCTTTTATTAAAGGTTTGAAGGTCGTAAATACCGCAGACGATAAGTAACCCACGACTTTTTCCACGTTTTTGTATCATTTTTCATTAATGCTCGTCTCATTGGTCGTAGCGTAATTATATGTATTATATATTTACATATCTTACCTAGCTACCTTTAGCTTTTATCGAATGCTAAATAATCAATTATCATTTCAAACCAGTAGTTCCTGAGTTTAACCAAACAAACAAACTCATCCATTTTATAACATTAAGTATCACCGACTTATGAACACAGAATGTAATTATGTAAAATTTACAATTTTACATTTCTTCTCGTTCCATAGAAAAATAAACGGTTCCGCGGTCCTAGTTTCGTAAGTCAATACTCGCATTTTTGGAGTTCCTAGACCTAAATAAATGCGAACGTGTGAAATATTGTTCATGAATTATTTATCGCCGCCCAAATAAATACAGCAAAATAATGAATATGGAATGTTCTGTTAGCGAGTCGGGGTCGTGACTTTTAGGAAAGATATGGTCTATCATCATCATTGTGGCCTATTCCCGTCCACTGCTGAACGAAAGCTTATCTAGGGTCTATGTTTAAACAAAATTCATTGCTATTTTTTTTTCATTTATTAAATGTAATCGTACATTTTACTGTTATTTTTAGGGAGGATATTTGTTTCCTCATTTAACAATTTAGTATTATCTATAGATTTTTACAATTTACTCACTATAGAGAGTTTTGCCCCTGTAAGTTTTCTACAGAATAATGAAGATCAGATGAGAAAAAATGAGTGGATTTTTTATTTG